CGTTGAGAATTGCAAAGAGAATGAATAAGGAGTTCATTGCTCCTCAATGCTCTATTGGATTCGATTACTCACTCTCATATGAAGTGTGTGCTTTACAAGATCACAAAAGTGGCTGTTGTGACTCTACACGAGCCAACAGTAAAAAAATACCCACATGATCATGGTTTGCTAATATAACATAAAAGAAATGGCAGGTGGCAAAATACAAGCCACTAAGATTTTTTTAATTAATCTTACCCATAACTAAGAGTACAAGAACACTTGAGAACAAAATCAAATGAAAGTTTTTTGGAAATCTTGAACTCCAAGGAAGTGATGTCTACAACAAGCTTATTCTTCAACACTCCATTCTAAGATTGTTGCAGATTTGACTCCATGCAAACTCTTGAGCATATAAAACATGTCCTTTGACAAAGTTTTTGTAAAGATGTCTGCTAATTGTTTCTCATATTTGCAGAAAACAAGATTGATAACGTTCTACAAGACATCTATGATATAGTGCTACAATCTATGAATGTGCTTTGATCTTTGATGGAAGACAGAGTTCTTTGTCATTGCAATTGCAGATTGATTGTCATAATACAAGGGATTTGCATCAATTTGCACTTCTCGAAAATCTTTAAGCATAAATCTTGGCCAAACTTCTAAGTTGTAGCTTCTAAACCACTAACATACTCATCTTCAGCATTTGGCAATGAAACACTATGTTACTTCACAAATGTCCAAGAGAAAATGCCACTGGCAAATGTAAAGGCATAGTCTGACGTACTCTTCATGTCATTCTCATTACGTCCCAAATCACTATCACAATAACCCACAAGCATTGCAAAGTTCCCTTTAACATATTCAATTCCAAAATCAATAGTTCATTGGATGTACCTGAGTATTCTCAGGTACATCTCATTACAGTTCCAAGGTGCTTCTTGGTTGGATTGCGCATGAATCTTGATAATAGGCTTGTGGCAAACATTATATCAGGGCTTGTTATAGTGAGATATAACAAACTCCCAACAATTTGCCTATACATTGCTTCTTCTACAAGTTCACTTCCATCATTCTCCTTAAGCTTCTCATTGACCTGCTAAAGGAATACTCACTGGCTTGCAATTCTTCAAACCAAGGTTCTAAAAGACGCTAGGCTCTAGTCAGGCGGTGGGATAGGGCATAGCGCCTAGGTGGCTAGGTGGACTAGGCGGATATAAGTAAATTTCTTATACATGTATAAACAAGGGCCTATTTATACTTAAAAAAACACATAATTGTATACATAAATTGCAAAATAAAATGACATATATATTATAAAGTATTAGAACATATTGAAAATATGGGGAACAATCATACAATGAGTGTTCATCCAAGTATTCAACAAGTCTCTCACATTTTATTACAAAAATAAAATACAAAACGAAAATTATAGATTTTATGTCCAAGTGAGAATAGTGACCTAGTCGAGTACCTAAGTGGGTTTAGGCAGGCACATAGGCAAGTTAGGCAGACACCTAAGCGAGTCTTGGTGCACTTTTTTAACTTTCAAATGCCTAGGAACTAATCGGGGGCGATGGCCAGCCACCTAACCAGCCTAGGCAACACTAGGTGAGGATCTTTAGAATAGTGCTTCAAACCAAACTTTTCAAGAAGAGCCAGTGCATATTTCTTTTGGTTTGTGAAGATTATATGCTCAAATTGAACAATCCTCATTCCTAGAAGGTGGTATAGCAATCCAAGGTCTGTCATCTCTTATCTTTTCATCATGTTAGCTTTGAATTCGTTAATCAAATTCATACTACTTCCAATGTACATAATGTCATCTACATAGATAGAGACACTTAATGATTACCTCCTTCTTTAGTTTTGATGTACAAAGTGGCTTCACTAGGACTTCTTTGAAAACCACATTTAAGCAAGAGTTGAGTCTTCATTCCAAGCTCTAGGATCCTGTTTCAAACTATACAAGGCTTTTATGAGTTTATACACTTTGTCTTTAGAACCTAGAACAATGAATCTCTCATATTGATCCACATAAACTTCTTCATTTAGTACTCTATTCAAGAAAGCTAATTTAACATCAAGTTGATATAATTTCCAATTCGGGTTTTTATCACAAGTAGTCCCTGAAATTAACCCATATTATCAAGATGGTCCCTGAAGTAGTCCCTGAAATTAACCCATATTATCAAGATGGTCCCTGAAAATAAAAATCAATCAATGTAGTCCCTGAATATGGTTGTTGCAAATCAATGTGATTTTTTCATTAAAATTCTGTCGAAGTATGCTAATTTGACACATATGTGGACCCGCAGGTCTATTAAATATTGTCACATGGATAAATTATTAAAAACTCTATAAAATTTTAATTTAAAATCATTTAAAATGATTAAATATAAAAAATTAAAAGTTGGTGAACAAAAACAGTTAAAGCTGCATATACTTTCACGATGAGGAAGACTCAATTCGTGCAAGGAGAAAGAGCCATGGGTAGGCTAGAGGCAGAGGAGACCATTTGGAATGATCGACCCGAGGACGTCATCCAAGCTTGTCTAAAAAATTATTTGTTCTTAGGTTGTCTTGCTATCTCAAGATTGGGATCAAGGGTTGTGATGGGGGACTGGTGGTTGTGTCTGGCTTGGTGTCGATCCGAGGTTGGGATGAGTTGGCAATTGGGTTGAAGGGAAACGGGTTGAGGTGGGTTGGTACGGTCAGGTGAGGAGGGAAGGGGTCGACGATTGACAGTGATGGGGAAAGATTGACAACAACGATGTCAGGGTAGGGTGCGGTTAGGGAATATGGTGGCTTGGGGTAGCAAATTAAGAAACCTAGGTCCTGATGGTGGTGTGAGCGGAGAAGGGTGGTCGTGGTCAACGTGTTTGAAGAAGACGATGGAGATTGCAAACAATGAGGTTTGAGAATTAAAGTTACATCTAATTGTTTAATTTAATTAGATGAGGATTGAGGACTAAAGCTACATCTAATTTTTTTTTTTGTTCAATAGCTTTTAATTTTTAATTTCATTTTGAATTTAGTTTTAATGATTTTAAATTAGTTTTTATAAAGTTTTTAATAATTTATTCATGTGGTAATAATATTTAATAGACTTGTTGGTCCACATATATGCCAAATCAACATACTAATAGAAATTTTGACGGAATTCTAACGAAATGACCACATTAATTTGCAACACGCATATTTAGGGACTACATTGATTGATTATCATTTTCAGGGACTATATGGATGGTATGGTTCAATTTCAGAGACTATTTGTGATGAAAACTCTTTCCAACTTTTTTGAGCTGCAAATGCACTAAGTGTCCTTATAGTGTCTAGTCTAGCAACATGATCAAAAGTCTCATTGTAATCCATTTTTGGCTTTTGAGAGCAACCCTTGGCAACCAATCTTGCTTTATACTTTTGTATAGTGCCATCCAAGTTCAATTTTGTCTTGAAATGACATTAGACTATTGGTCTATCAACCAATTCCCATGTTTTTCTTCTCAATCATTTCAATTTCTTTCAAGCTTGATCAGTGGCAGCATTTTCATATTTCTTTGGTTTAATTATACTGAGATTACACCTTGTATATACATCACTCAATGATCTTAATTTCACTAGAGTGGTATTTGAAGAACAGGTTTTCCAAATTCAATCACAAGGTCTTCAAAAATAGTTCTTTGAGGAATACTCCCTTCTAATACTAGTGATCTTGCATTCATACTACATTTAACATTTTGAAATTAATTGGCATTCTCATTTAATTGTAGGCTTATTGGAAATGACAATGACTTCTCACTTTCAGTTTCCCAACTCTATATGGCATTTTTATCAAATAGAACACTTATGGAAAGTATAATCTTCTTGGGGTCAAGAACAAACAGTCCATACCCCTTTTCAGTCTTTCCATATCCCACAAAGATTCCTCTAATTAAGCATTCATCTAGTTTGTGTCTCATTTGTCCAAGAATGTGACTATAACAAACACATCTAAAAACTTTAAGATGCTTGACTCCTGGTTCCCTCCAACTGAAAGCTTCAAATGGAGTTTTGTCCTTCACTGTCTTTGTAGGACATATATTGAGCAAATAGACTGCTGTGTTGACAACTTCACTCCAAAGGTAATAAGGCAACTTCTTTTCATGCAACATACTTGTTAACGCTCAGAACTTGCATGTTAACAAAATAAAATAATAAATACTTGTAGGGCTTTTGGTACGAAAGTAAAGCAAATTAAACTCAGAGATATAAGTGGTTCACCCTTTAAAAATTGGCTACATCCATTGCAGTGCTAGGATTTATATTGATATCAAGATTGAAAATAGCGCTCGGTTATTTAATCTCGTTAACTTGAGCATCATTCTAATTGCATTTATGTCTTATCTTAAGCATCTATGTCACTTAAAGTTGTCTGTCTACCCAGGTGCTTGCGGCGGTCGTAGTCCTTCTTGCACTCTCTAGTCAGCTAGGTTTAAGGACAGTCAGTCATTGAGCTCGGGCTTGTCCTCTTTTAAGCCCCTTGGGCCTTGGGCTTCGATTTCTCTTATTGGGCTTCTTGGTTGGCTCCATTGTTTGGGCCTAAAAGTACCCAGCGTTACAAGTCCCCGAACCCCGTGATCAAGGGTCCTTTCTTGAGCAGGGAGTTGTAATGGTTGGTCGGCTTGTTGGGTTGAGCTCGAGTGTTTCCAACCTTTGCTCACTGGCCGATTGACTTTATCACATATGCCCTTCAATCAGAGCAGCAGTCGGGAGACGTTTTAGGTGCTCGAGACTTGCGTTAACTATGGCAGACAGGTGTGGCCTCGTGCACTGTGGTGTGACATTTTCAATAGGTTAGATACTTGTTTAGAATGTTTAAAAGGGTTGGAAAGTTTTAGATACTTAATCATTATTTTTTCAAAGGGAATTGTTATTGGCACTCCAAACTTTCTATATTTAGAAAGAAAAATACACTTGTGAGGAGTATAGAAAAAAATTTTTGGAGTACCAAAAATCATTATATATCATTATATATAGGAAAGAGAAAAAGCAAAGAAATGGCAGATGCTAAAGTGACAAAAGAGCTCCGCACCGAACGCATGCCGACGCGTTTCCTCCCGACCTGTTACCCCCAAACAACCCATCACATTTCCACCTTCCATGCTCCGTTCCTCTTTTTCTCTCCCCAATCCCCGTTCCTCTTCCCCTCATTCCAATTCCCATGTGTTGTAAAATTGTGGAAACTGTGATGTAGCAGCTTCAGGAAAAGTCCATCCAAACAAAAACATCCCCACATTCCAGCATATCCCAACCCCACACCTTCCTCAGCGAAGAGAGCGCAATTAACTGCCACTATCTCATTTTCTGTTATTTATTTATTATTTAAAATAATTATCATCTCACTCTCCCACTCTCTGTATCTCCCCCTCCTCACCCCCTCTCTCTGTTTCAATCTCCATCTCCATCTCTCTCTAGATAAACCATTACCTTGAAATTGTTACCAAAAACAAAGAACAAAAAGCAGAGAGAAGCCTGGGAATTTGAGGTAATAAAAGCATCCTCCTTTGGGTAACATTCTCAAAATCTCTCTTTCGTTTCTTGCAAACCCATAAACCCTTTTTACCCTTGCTTCTTGTTACTTCACCATTGCAGGGTTCCAGAGAATATCAAAAGATGGGAACTTTATTAAATAATCTCCAGCTTCAAGCTCTCTTCATTGCAGTTTGCTTATTTTCTTCCTTCTTCTGCCTCAAGGTTTATTTATTTATTTACAGCATTTAATTAGCTCGCATTATCTTCAATTCTGAATATAAATTAATTTTCTGGGTTTTTCCTAAATGGCAAACAGATCGGAGAGACGTGTTCGAAAGACAGCGACTGCGACGCCGGTTCGAGCTGCCAAACATGCGCTGCAAATGGCAACACCCGACCCAGATGCACCCGGATTCAACCCACGAGTCCCACATCAAAGGTCATCATTTTTTCCTTAACTAATTACGTAATTAAACATTTGTTTGGTTTTAGTGTTGTTAATTAATTTGCAAATGGTGATTAGTTAATAATGTAATTAATGATGGTAATTGAAGGTGAAAGGTCTACCATTCAATCGGTATTCATGGCTAACCACCCATAACGCTTTCTCTCAAGCTGGAGTCAGGTCCTCCACCGGTTCCTTAATTATTGCTCCCATGAACCAGAACGATACCGTTGCCAACCAACTCAAGGTAAGTTTCTTTTCTTCAAGTATTCTCTACCCTGCATTTTTACCCTTTTTTTGTTTTTTGTTTTTGGTATATATGGAACTTGGATTTTTTTTTTCTTTTTCGAAATAATTACACTGTATTTATCTGATTTACGGATAAATGATTAAATTTTGGTGTAAAGATAAAGAGTCAACGGCTCTAACTAATTTGACTAAACTAAGCGGGAATTGTGTTCTTGCATGCCAAGCGGTGAGGTGGGCTGGTGTGTAATCTAACGGTAGTCAAAGGAGCGAGCAACATACTCTTTTTAACCTTTAGAGCATTCATCTTAACTTTCTACCGTCTAATCGAGTAAATTGAAAAAAATTAAAAATTAGAAATTAACAGGGATGTGTAGACAGTAAAAATAGATGTATAGATAGCATTACCCTAGTCAAATCATGGACATGTTTGTGGCAGCAAAAATCTGCCGTCTTCAGTCTTGACGAATTTGTACCTACAAAACAATCAACACCTTTGATCAAAGACCAAAGCCTCATGGGTCCATGAGGTTGGGAGTTTAGCCAATGGATCTCTGATACCTAAGTCGGTCTTTGAAAGAGTGAGTGTTTAAGACTTTGTATGCGTAGCAAAAAGCTTACCAAAATTTGGTGGAGATTGAGGTATTTATAGGGAGAATGGTCGACCATAGGGGTAGGGAGTAGCCCTGCACATGGTGGCATCATATTGGCCAAGATGTGTCATTCGTTGGATGAATGAGAAAAAAATATTCCCAAGATATTAATTAGGAAAAAAATATCTTCAGATAATGGTGGAAGTATCATTGATTGATTGTGAAAGGTATTACTTACTTGATGGAGTTGATCTTTGACTTTTTCATATCACGAGTAAAAGAGCTTTGAGCAATCATAGTTAGCTGCTTGAACACCCATTTAAAGAGAGCAATCTTATCTTCTTTGAAATTAAATCTACGTATCGCCTCCAAGATTTTTGTTATTACTTTTTGCTCCACAGTATTGACTAGGCAAATGTTTGATTTTCTAGGTTATCCTTCCTTTGTATCTTTACTTATTTCATGGTTTGACAAAAACAATATATGCCTGATGACGTGGCAATTTGCTAGATCATTGATGTGGTCAAGCTGGCTTATGTTCGACTCTTGGTGTGTGTTGTTGTTGAGAGTATCAATCTATATAAATAAATGTAAATAATAAAATATGTGCCTATAAAAATTGGATCACTCTTCATATTGTTAATTGATTTTATGGTGAAACCTCAACTACTACATGACATTAGAATAGGTTGTCATGTGAAGGCCAATGACCACATGTGCTCTATGTCACCTAATTTGTGTTGTCAGTGTGCTAGGCTTAAAAATTCGCCACACATGTGAGGCGCTTGTTGAGAGTATCAATCTTACATTGGAGAAGGAATGGATCTTGCATGTGCTTCTAAGTAATCGAGCTATTCCTCATATTGCCAATTAATTTTATGATAGAACCTCAACTTCTTCAGTAAAGTATTTTGAACTCAAAGAATCCATCGAATATTTGGATAGCTGACCGTTTAAATCTGGCATATGCATGAACTAGAAATAAACCTCAAGCACCAAGCCTACCAAAATTTACTAGAAAGGAAAAGAGAAGAGTACAAACGAGTGGACATGTAGCCAAAACATCGAAGAAAAAATTGTTACAATAAAGGTTGAAACAGCCTATATGAAACGATAGTTAGACATGCCCAACCAATCACGAAGACAGAAAAAAGAAATAAGAGTAGGACATGAATCCCACCAAGAAAAACTAGAGTTAATAGCACCATAGTTTGCTAAGCATCTGCTACTTGATTACCTGCACGGAAAATAGGAGAAACTTTAAATGACACAAGTCGAAGTCGCTCCAAAATAATTTTGTCAATCCACCCGAAGTTGCCAAGGGACCAGATTAGGACAACTAAAGAAATGAACGGCTAACTTCGAATTTGTTTCAATCCAAACAACATACCAAGCATGAAGCCAAGCCAACTCAATTGATTTGATGATCAATAAGACTTGGGCATGTAGAGCACTAGGAACATTCAGATTAGAACTGAAAGCCCCAATCACACACCCTTGTTAATCACGAAAAACACTTTCACAGCCAGTCCTACCAGAATCTCCCTTACAAACACCAGCTAAAGATCCTTCATGTGTTTTATGTTGTTGAATGGTAGAATGGCGTCCGAGGGTTTATGCTGGATATGTATGACTTCAACAATGACATCTGGTTATGTCACTCGTCTGGTGGCAAATGTTACAACTTCACTGCATTTGTAAGTGCTTCAAATTATGCTTTTGCCAAATTGAATTTGAATTAAAGGAAAAATATCATGCTTAAATATTTCTGTCCGTTTGGAATTGCTTGTGGAATGGCTAAAAGTTCTTTCTGACAACCAAAAGCACTTCTTACTGCGTTTTATAGAAACAGTTAGAAGTGCTTCTGGGTCTTAGAAACGTTTTTGGAGAAGCAACTATCATATTCTTCTTCAGGATGATTTTTAATAAAATTCAGCATGTTTTGAACGAGCAGAAGTTTCCTGCAGATGCAATCCCAAATGAGCCTTTACTCGCTTTACTTTATAGTTTTAAAGGTTGAAAAGTAAATTGCTGCTCTTGATTTTGCTTGCTTGTGTGGACCAATTTTCTCTGCAGCAACCTGCTATTAACACACTGAGAGATATTAAAGCCTTTTTGGAAGCCAATCCCTCAGAGATTGTCACCATTTTTATTGAAGATTATGTGGAATCTCCATCGGGCCTGACAAAGGTCTTTGAGGGAGCTGGCCTAAAAAACTTTTGGTTCCCAATTGCTCGGATGCCAAAGAACGGGGAAGATTGGCCAACTGTCGATGATATGGTCCAGAATAATCAGCGGTTGGTGGTTTTCACCTCTAAGAAAGCTAAGGAGGCTTCAGAGGGAATTGCTTACGAGTGGAACTATGTCGTGGAAAATCAATGTGAGTCCTATATTTTAAAACGTTTCAAGATGTCAAGCACTTCACCAGATTGTTTGTTTAATATTTGCTCCTAAATTTTCCTGAATTTTGTATGTGTAGTATGTGACATATCATTCTATTAATGCGCGTGTAAAGATTAATTCCTGTCTGAAGATTTTCCTTAATTTTGTTTGAGTACTATATTCTCAGATGGAAGTGGAGGAATTATACCTGGTTCATGTCCAAATCGTGCTGAATCATCTCCCATGAGCACAAAATCTAGATCATTAGTTCTCGTGAACTTCTTCCGCGATCTTCCAAATGCATCAGCATCTTGCATGGACAATTCAGCTCCCTTACTAAGCGCGTCGAAAACTTGCTATGAAGCAGCCGGGAAACGGTGGCCGAACTTCATTGCTGTTGATTATTATGAGGTATATAGTGAGACATTTCCGTTGAAAACTCCTGGAAACAGTGTCAAGTAGATAAAGGGACGGGTAGTGACACGCTCCCCTTTTCTCCTTCGGCACTCCTCTTATTTGTCCTTAGTTTTCCTGCGGTTTGTTCAATTCAATGACTAGAGAAAAATGGAGTGCATGGGAAGAAAAGGAGAGTACGAAAATTACTTTCATAAAAAAGTCAAATTTGCATGCATTTGCCTAAACCTGTTCTGGTTTCTGTGTTGAAGAAAAGTGATGGTGGGGGAGCTTCAGAAGCAGTGGATGAAGCCAATGGCCATCTGACATGTGGCTGTGACAGAATCACTTACTGCAAGGTTCGCAAAATTTGCCATCAGAACTTTATAACTTTGCAAATATGAAATTCATCTAAGTTTCCAATCTATCTTTTATGAGCAGGTAAACGGTGGTAACGTTACATTTGGTTCATGCGACGTCCCCAAACTTGCTCCACCGCCACCTGCCGCCGCCGCCGCCATCACATCCGCTCTACCAAGTCCCAGTAACTTCGCTTCTCAGGGACAATCAGTCCACTTGCTTTGGTTGTCTGGAACAATTTTGGCTACAATTCTCTCAATTCGGGTATAATTTGTTATCTACTTTTGATTGCTACCTCCCTTGTAATTTTTAAACCACACGATACATTTTTTTGGGAGAAAAATTGATGCCTCCATTATTTTGGGGTCTGAGGTAAATATCTATTCAATATTGTAACAAGTTAATATATTTTGTACAATCAGTTTCTCTTCGTCCCTTTTATTTTCTGAATTTTACCATTACCCGAAAAGAGTCTCTGGAGGTTCTTTTTTTTTTTTTTATTCTTTTTAGCGGGAAGTTCTAAGTTAAAATTTGGGCCAAGTTCGTTTGGGATGTCTCCTAAGATTCCAAGTTTTCACTTATTTGACTGTGATGTCTCCTACCACCGTTCTCAGTCGCTCCATATCGATTCTCTTTCTCATTTAGCAATGTTGTACCATGATTAAAATTATATACTTTTCGGTTCACTTTTTAAAAATCAACTTTGCAAAAAATCAACTAAATCACAAATAGTGTTTGATTAACATTGTCAAAGCCTTAGTGTTCAATTGAAGAACATGGTATATTATATATTGGACAACTATTAGGCGACTAAATGATTTTGGATTAGGTTGATTATGGGCAAAGTTTATCTTTAACGGGTGAATAGAAAATAGATAGTTCAGATTATTGTTCAACATTGTAGGATGAGAGGGAGAGTTGGGAAGGTAAAATGAGAAGTTCCAAATCAGAAGTTACTAGCATTCCTCAATAATTATAGTGTGTATCAATTTGTTCTCAAGTAGAAAGAATCTACCCTATAATTGAAGATATATCTCCTTATGTCACATGACAAGTGTTGTAGACATAAGGGAATATGTACACTAACTCGTGATTAGTGTTTGTAACTAATTATATACAACTACATGTGTACAACCGATGACTTTGAGGCATCTCCCGTTCTTCGGACAGCCACATAATTGAAGGGATTTACAATATGCACCAGTGTACCTAAACACTAGGGGGGTTGTTAGATTGTTTACTCCACATCTAATCTATCATTCATCTGGTACGCATCATACATTAGAGCACGTTAAGATTTTCACATTGGATAATAGATGACACCACAAATCTCGTCTTTTAATGTTTGTCATCTGGTACGTATCATACATCAGAGCACGATAAGATTTTCACATTGGATAATAGATGACACCACGAATCTCGTCTTTCAATGTTTGTCATCTGGTACGTATCATACATTAGAGCACGATAAGATTTTCACATTGGATAATAGATGACACCACGAATCTCGTCTTTCAATGTTTGTTTGTAAAAATTTAGGGGCAAGGAAACTACCTCATCTCAGGGTCAGGGCATTACCATAAGCCTCTTTGAGAACTTATAGAGGGGTCTTAGCCCCCTTTTTTTTTTGTTTTTACGTGTCACCAAAATTGTCGGCAACAGAACTTGTACCTACACCTTGATATTTGGTCGTAAGAATGAGTTGGTCCGCAAACTAGACCTTAGAATTGCTCCAAACTTGTGAAGTCCAGTAATTCATTAATAAATTTAGGAAAATTTAATTCACATTCTCATTTTTATCTCCCACACATCCTTGTTAATCTTTGGCATTGATTTTCTTCAACTTATTCGATTCAACGGCCAAAAACTGATAGAACTGTATGAGAAGTAAAAATAAATGTATAAATAACACTAACCTAAATTTATTCCCATTTGCCAAGAAGTGTGGCAATCAGATGGTTTAGCTAGTACCTACACATCTCCCTTGAAAATTTAAGTCCAAAACATATTTTTCTTCCCAAAGTTAATAGTTTTTTTCATCAAAAACAAAAATAAAAGAATAAATAGTGACCTTGAAGTCATATCATTGTCCTTTTATCTTAAGATATTTTTGGAAGTGGAGGGAACCAAGAATTAAACTTTCATAGTAATAAAACTGCAACAAGTACAGAAGATCCCTTCCATTCAGGAGGGTGGGGATGAACGGAGGTCATGCAGCCGTCTTCAACATGGAGTAGGATTCTCTCTCATTTTTTTTCTCTTCCTTTCTATTTGAACGGTCACAATTAAACCACGTTAATATCTTATATTAATTTTTTATAAAAAAAAACCAAAAACAAAATAAAGAATGTAAGAAAAAATGATGAAAAGATGAGAGAAGAGAATCATAATCTCTTCAACACCTTCTACATTTGGAGGAATGAAGTTTCCTAATCCCAGACCGTCACACCGCCTTACGAAATTAGTTAACAGTTGACTAGTACGTGTATTTACTTATTAATACAATAATTATGATTATAAAATATTAATGATGTCGCCCACTTATATTTTACCGCGTGAATTAGAAGGATTATGTAACGATGGGACCGTGAAGCTGAAAGTTTTCTCACCCAACCTCTCATGAGCTGCAGTGCTATTTATTTGCACACTGTCAAGCTGTCTCGGTTTACGACTACAAGTTTCCCCACTCATAACAAAAGGCATGTTACTGGAGGTGCCAGGGCCACAGTTTGTGATCAAAATCCACCAACTACTTTTAGAATGAATTTCATAGCTAAAAAATCATTTAATTTAGGGCATTCACTTTTTGGGGCTTTTTTCTTTATCAAGTTACTTATAATGTGAACAAAATCAAACAAAAAATGATTGAAAATTTATCATGTTTACATGCACACCTAGGTTTAGCCAAATTGGCTTGAGCAGTACGCTTAATCTCCCACATCGTAATTTAGATGTTAATGTAATTATTTTATCATTTGACAAAAAAATAATAATAATTAAACAAAAATCATACTTGCCTATAAATACATGTAAACTAAATGCCACCAGATGATTCAGGAACCTATAATTTGAATTTAAACTTGATATATAAATAAAATATATATATATAATATTTTATTCAACAATGACAGATTTGAGGAATAGTGTGACTAACAAATTACATTACACACTCATTGCTCAAAGCTTTTCTGAAAAATGGCATTTGCCAAAACATTTGAATCAGCTGTTCTTGTGAAACTATATGGAGCAAAACACAAGCATAGAATCAGAAAACAACGTAGCGTAATACCCTGTGTATGTAAAAGCCGGCAAGCTATTGGATAACTTTGGCACCATTTGCAAAGGCCAGCTACTGAATGAGTGCAAGAACCGTCACCCGCATCAAACAAGTCTGGTAAAATTGGCACTGCTTTTCTCCTCGATCCCTCCATCATGTCTTATCGGACTAATGCAATGCCACTTTCGTACCCACTACTATCACCTGGTTCAGTTACCTGCTTCTCTTTCAGCCCATCCTTCACATCTTCACCATCCAAGCGCTCTGCGTCCCTTCTGGATCTATGATCCTAAAACAAGTGTTCACAACTTGAAAAGTTAGAAAACAGAATTGAAACATCTAGATGAAAGAAGTAACAGCATTAAGGGGACAGATATGATATGTCATTTTACTGCATTGAATGTAACAGTATAACAAGTGCCAAATGAAATCGATGAGAGAAAGTGACAGAGAGACCATTATTCATTTTCACTCAGAAAGGCACACGTACATCTTTAAATGGGGACTCTTCAGCTTCTAGCATATGTACAATATGTCCCAATTTTGGCCGCTTCAGTGCATTTGGGTCCACACACCGTAAAGCTACAAGAAGAACCCGCTTCAATGCCCTGGAAGCAGGCTTCTCGGGTAACTTGGGATCCAATACTGCCTCTGCATTCCTGTCAGCAACCATCTTCTTAAGCCAATCCACTAAGTTCACCTGATAATCTCACATTTGTTAAAACAAAATCAAAGGAAACTCACGAAAGAAAGAAAACCGGAAGCCATTAGAAAGGTTATCTTAAGGATTCAGACCTCTTCTGGAGGCCGGCTATAATCAACTGGATTCCTCCCCGATAGTATCTCCATGATAAGAATCCCAAAACTATACACATCACTTCTCTCATTCAACATGCCCGTACTCGCGTACTCGGGAGCTACATAGCTTCAAAAGGCAGAAATAGATTATTATCGATCAACGCAAGAAAATGCAAGCGCATAAACACATACATATAAGCACATGGAGGGTCCACCATACCCAAATGTTCCCATGACACGTGTTGTAATGTAGCTTATCTCAGAACCAATGAGCTTGGCAAGGCCAAAGTCTGACACCTTGGCATTCCAATGCTTGTCAAGTAAAATGTTGCTCGATTTTATATCACGGTGAATAACCTTGGGTTCCAGTCCTTCATGAAGGTATGTTAACCTACAAGATTAAATCAGTTATGATGAAAGCCACCGATGAAGTCGGGGAAACAAGAAAGATCAATAGCATATGTGAATTCTAAATTGATCTGCATTTTGTACCCTTTTGCGGTTTTTAGTATGATATTCATTCGGATCTCCCAAGTAAGCGGACTGCAAGGCCCAACATCCCCATGAAGCCACTGTTCTAGGTTCCCATTGTTGACATACTCATACACAAGCATCCTATCAACATAAATGCAGTTAAAAAGATAGAGTTGATATTCTATCGCTATGGACTTAATAAACTATAATTACAAGATTAAAAGCTACAATTGAGATAATGAAGCTAGAGAGTAATGAGGCAAAAAACAGAGTACCTATGAGCTCCTTCAGCACAGAAGCCAAGCAATCTTACTAAATTCTTATGTCGAACTCGTCCGATTGCCTCCACTTCAACCTTGAACTCCCTCTCAGCTTGCCCCCTTTCAATTAACCCAATTTCTAATCCATTAATTCAATCACAAAAGCTCACTTTATCACAGTCATCAGTCAATTAGTACAACACAAATTCTAACAAAATTGACTAAACGCAAACTCTTACAAAACTACATAACCAAACACACAATAAGCCTCGCATTATATACGAACTTAGGGCCGATTTGCGATTACTTCTCTGGAAAGCACTTTTGCTCGTACGCGTTTATGCTAGAAGTACATTTATTACAAACACATTCAAATCTTTATGAAAAATCCAAGCGCTTCCCCAAAAACACTTGAAGTGCTTGAAGTGAAGTGCTTTCTAAAGACGCAAGCATGTGCTTCTCTAGAACGCTTTGACGAGCCCGAAACAATCACATAAGATATCATAAACAGGCCCTTAATCCCCCACAAAATACTAGAAAACAAAAGAATTGACTTCAAAAGCACCTGTTGTTAAGCAAGTTCTTGACAGCAACGTGAGTTTTATCCTCCAAAATACCATGGTAAACAATCCCATATCCTCCTTCCCCGATAACGTTGTCATCCACAAACCCATTTGTCGCAACCTCGAGCTCTCTAAGAGTGTACCAGTGTCCCCACCCCAAGTGAGAAACTTCGGGTCCCACCATCCCCGCCTGCTCAACCCCGCGCGCCTCCCCGCTTCCATGCGAAGAAGAAGACCCGATTGGGTAAGTAATCCGGTGGTCCTTCCCAATCTCAATGTGCACTTTCTGGTACCCAATTGGGTTCTCTTCCTCTGTCGGCTTCAGCAAGTGTTGCCTCTCGATTCTGGGAACTGGGTCGGGCTCCGCGCGCGAGTAAGCTTGGGTTTGTGTCCGGACATGGTCGACCCGGATCTCCTGGATCTCTTTGGAGACGATTGGGATTGTGGGTTTTGCTAAAGTTTTGTTCTTGGAACGCTTGGCGGCGAACCAGAGAGAAATGAGGACGAGGAGGAGCACGAAGGCGACGCCGACGCAGACCCCAACAACAATCCAAAGACGGAGGCCGAAGATTGAGGTCTGCTCGGAAAGCTGGTCGCTCAGGTGCTCGGCTTTTACATCCGACATTTAGAATTTTGGTGCCTTTCTCACAAGTGCTTCTGTGAATAAGCTGTGAGAAGGGACAGAGAGAGTGGAGGAGGGAAGAGGAATACTTATGGCAGCTGGCGTGATGGGACTTTTTGGAATCGGCCGTGTCTGTCTACAAGTAGAGTGAGAGAGTAGAGTTGCTGCTGCTGCTTTCGAGTGAAAACGTAATTACGCGCGGGTTGGGTTTGGCAGTTGGTTGGGGAGCTTCTCAAATGCATTCAATGAGCAAAAATAGTAACTCCACTAGGAAGTTTATTGCTTTAAGTTAAGCCCCAATTAAACGGCACGTCTAGTTTCTAAATTGGGTAATTTAGATTAAAATATGAGCAATGTTTTGATACTCAAAGTCGAGTTGGAACTTCTATTAAAAAAATTGTCTAATTCATAAAAAATTGTTCTTATAATCGGAACCGTCTTTAAAAATCATCTCTGCAAAAAAATGAATTGAAAATAAGGTTATTAAGTAGATCAAATGTAGCACGTAGATAGACAGTCCATTTGCTCTTGGACAATGTGATCGACTAAATGACTTTAGTTTTAATTGATTTTCTGCAAACATGATCTTTATAGAGTGATTTATTATATGAACAGTTTTGATCATAAATATTACGGTCTATGAATCGGAAACGAAGAGTTTTGGGTTGAAACTCCTACTCATCATTTGGGTAGCCAAGTATTATTCTTAAAAGAATATTATGTTTGTGTATGTAACATATTCTTCATGTGACCGTTAAGGGTAAAAATTTATATGTTATGTTAAAGAAAATAGGGTTAGCCTATTAGTGAATATGGGTAGGGTGACGAACTTTAAAGTAACAAAATAACTTTTGAAGAGGTTGTTAACGCTCAAATCTTGTGAGGCTAACAAATACCATTTTGGTCATGTAGTCATCCTTTGGTCTGCTTAGAATTGAAATGATAAGAAGTGAACAAAATTTAAATAGTTCGCCTCTCAAAACTAGACTACACCCACTGAGTCACCATATATATTACACTCAATATAATCTATTCTTTTTTCTCTGTGTATTTGTTCGACCCCTTCTAAGGAGTACTTGTCCTCCTTATATAGGCCCTCAATGAGTCCCCAGTTCTTAGGCTCGAGTCTTCAACTGCCTTTGCATTTAATGCACCGAATACGTAGACAGGATCTACTAGTTGTCCTTTAGTTCTTTAGTTGGCACATGGTAACAAAATGATGTTAGTTCAGGTCCATTTGCCTATTTTCTTGGGACAACGCGTACCAAGCACCTTGCTTGGCACGAAGGTTGGTGGGAATCCATACCCCGATTGCTTAATATGTCAGCCTTTACATCCTTTCATGGGCTTGTATTCTCTCTGATAGTTGTCACGTGGCCTGGAGTTGATGTCCGAGTAAGCATGTCCCTGTGTCCCTGAGACTTTGTGCTATAAAGTTGTCAATACACCAAAATTGATGTCATCAGTCAGAAAGTACTTTATGAGGATGCGATCGGCTTTGTTATTGACAAGCGAACCAGGCCGCTGAGCGGTCATCTGAAGCACTTGAGATAATTATGTTGAGTCTTGGTCTTTCTTCCTTTGGGCCTTTCTTTCTTTGGCATATGTTTCTTTGGGCCTTCATTTATTTGGGCCCATGTTCCTTTGGGCTTCTAGGGGTCAAAAAGAACGTTGCGTCAACAAAGATTTTTTTTGGAAACTTTAATGAAAAGCTCCCGGTACTGTTTACTTTAACGAAAAATCACATTTTTACACTAAAAATTTAATCATGATACTATTCACTTTACCCCTTTATTTTGTTATTTTCGTTAAAACTCAAAGTTTTCAAGTCATTTTCATTAGTTTTCCGAATTTTTAAAGATGAGCTTGAGTGACAACGTTTAAAGTAGCATTAAAGTGTCATATAGGTTAGTAAATGACACTTATAAAACAATTGTTAATTCCCATAGATATGCTCTAAGTAAGCTAATTGTCAACCTTGTTATTTTATATTTTATTATTTACTTTTATATACAAGTGATATTGAGGAAGGACTTAAATATAGGATCTTAGGTACATGAATACTCTTGAACACCTTAAGTTATAAGCCATTTGATTGAAGGACTCAAGTACTATAACTGGTTGTATTAGATAATTTTCCTTTAATTCAAGTTTATTTTCTAGCAAACATAAATAAACCCCTTCACTCTTGTTCTCATGATCATTCCGAAATTTGAAGAGGGTCAAAGTTCGTACTCCCTATTAATAAAAGGGGTACGTAAAGAATTGGTTAAAGGGGGTTTGTTCAGAGTTGGGGAAAAAGATATACAAACATTGATAACTTTTTTATCAGAGAAAGGAGAGGATATGAGTCATAGTCTTGTAAGTTTGAAGATAAAGCACTCTACTAATAACAAGACAAGACTTGTAAGCTTGACTATAGATACTATACTAATAACTTTAAGGTGCAGTATGCCGAAATATTGAGTGTGATATCAACAATAAGGAATCAAACTTCTATGGTAGGTTGGAAAATGTGAGCGATATGAAAGCGATTTTTATTTTTTTTTAGTTTAACATATTGAATTCATAAGTGTGATATTTATACAATAAATAACAAGAGAGAGAAAATAGAAAATCAATGTAGAATGCTTAAGTTGCGGTGCCTGATTCTTATATAGACATCACACACACCTAACCATTGTGGTATATTTAAGTCTAATAATCATACGTGTTGATAAGTTAGTGGCTTCCCTTTGTAAGAAAGATATATAATGAACAATTTCACAAATCATTGAATTCTCCATTGATAAATTTTCAAGTGAGTTAGCACCTAAAAATACATAGGGTTCAAAGCATGACCAATGTGATGGAGCAAAATGAAGTAAAATGTCATACATTGCTCACTAGGACAAAACGCCCAACGAGAATGCACAGCCAATCTCTAATTTGGGAAGAAATTCTGGGAAAATTGGTTGTTAATAATTCTACAACATCAAGAACTGAAATAAAAAACTAATTTAAAAAATACAAGAAAAAGTCACACTTCAAGATTTTGAATTTAAAAAAAATGTCCTTAAACTAAAATTGGAACTCAGCAACTTTTTTTTTTTTGAACAAACAATATTATCTACAGTAAGGGGATGAGGGAGTGGGCTACGCCTCACATTGGACTAGTCTTAATAATGTGGTTCAAATTCGCCTTTAGAGAGAATCGAACCTAAGACTTCTCACTTACAAGTGAAGATGAATACCACTACATCATAATACTAAGTAGCTAGAACTCGGCATTTTGATGATACGATGAGAGTCCCTAAGACTCGAACCGTCTATAATAACTCTTTGAGCTAGTTTCTCGGGTGATCCACCCCCTTATGCTAAGTTTTGTGAGAGACTTTTTATTAATTTTCTATATTTTGTTTGATGTGATACATGGATGAGGACGGTTCAGTTTGGGAACGGAAATGCGATATCCATTCCATAACCACGAATATTAACCATATCCATAACCGTAATTAACTATCGGGAATTGTTCATAACCATACCCATGGGATAATGAATTGTCCATCGGTTAACAATTATATCAATCTTCGTCAATGAAAAAAATTTACTCATTCAACACTTCAACTTACACATTATATTTTAATAAAAACTAAATAAATCATTAAATATCCACATCAAAATCATCAAAAACATAACAATACTTTATAGAGGTGTTGATGTAAGTTTCTTTGTGTTGTTTGCTTTGCTTTCATCTTTCTGAATCTTTGTATAAGCTACTTTGTTGTTGAGTTTTGATTCAATTTTCAGTTGTCTCCCTTGTCATTTGAACCTCTTTTGATTATTGATGTAGATAGCATTGTCTTTCTTTCATCGCCCAAAGTGTTTGTAATCGAACATCGGATATCATTTGAACTTGTCGTTGATTCAGTTTGTTTGAATCATGGTGTTTGTGCTTACTGAGCTTTGAAGCTCAATTTTTTCCCTTCATTTCCAAATAAGTTTGGATGAGAAGTTGACATGTTTTGGATGTATTGAAGAGCTATTGAAGATTTTGGTTCATTTGGCATACATTAGATGTTTTTGTAAATGTTTGAAAACACCGTGTACATTTATTTTTATTTATTTTATTTTACTTTTTACCTTTGTTCTGGATTTTGGAACCTTTGTAGTTCACTCGAGGTTTGTTTGTAAGAAATGTTAACGAATTTGCTTATATTTCAGTTTGGAAAATTTGGAAGTAGTCACTTTTTGTTCTTTAAAGTAATGTGAAGTGTCACATACTCGAGTTTAGTTTGGATCCTAGTGGCACATGACATTGGAATGTGGATTAGGGAGGGTGAGCTTATGTGGGAGGCTATTATTGTGGTGTTAGATTTAAGGGAAAAATTAGTTATGTGCCACTATATAGGTTCAAATTATATAACTGGTTTGGTATTTTAAGTGGCAAAACGAAGAACAAACCGCTTCACTAAATATATTGTTTAATCGCTATCATGGGATCTTAGTTTTGACATGCGATGTGTAAGTTTATCTCCACGTAACATAATATTATTAGATCGTGACGTTATATAATAGCGAATTCGTTTTATGCAAGTTGATCACCATTTGCAAATGCTAGATTAATATCGCTTATCAAGAGAGTAAAAAAAAAAAGCAATTAGCTACAATAAATATATTATTATTTCGTTGTAAAAGTTATCAGTGTTTATTGGCGTCATTGTATCAACATTGTATGGCCGATATATGATAAATATTGTTGTAACTGAAAAAAAAAAAAAAAAAAAAAAAAAAAAATATTTCCAAATACCATCCCGCCATTTCCCTCCGAAAAAAATGCCTTCCCGCGCAAACCACAAAATGCTGGCGGGTTTATTTAGTTGATTAAAAAAGGAACTCCAAAACCCTACTCTACACCCACAGCCACTGACACTTGCACAGACATCCACACACAATCAATGGCGGACGACGAACAAGCGACGGTGGCCACCAGCAGGCGGCGGAGTCGAGGACCAGAGGCGTCGGCCCGTGCCGGAGCCCTCGAACGCCTCAAAGCTCTTCGCCATGGTGGCCGCCGATCTGAAGCTGGTGGGTTCCAAATCAAGATGGAGGACCGAATCTATGACACTGTCGGAGACGACGAGTACGACGCAATCGTCGCCAAACGACGGGAAGAGGTCCGAGGCTTCATCGTCGACGACAACGGCCTAGGTTACTGCGATGAGGGCGAGGAAGAAGACTGGACTCGTGCCGGTCCGTCATCGGATGAATCGGACGGTGGCGATAGGCCCAAGAGGAAGAAAGTCGAAAAAAAGGAAAAGGAAAAGGACAAAGAGCCTCGGCCCAGAAAGCCCAGTTCGTCGCTCACTGCCGCGGCGGCGATGATGGGGAAGCAGAGGCTCTCGTCGATGTTCACGTCGTCGGTTTTTGGGAAAAATAGAGATAATGAGAGGGGGAGAGGATTGAATTGTGATAGTATTGTGGATGATGTGATTGCGGAGTTCGCACCAGATGAGGATGACAGAGAGAAGCGGAGGAGGGGGCAATCAAACAAGATTTTGGTCCCGAATTTGAGTGTTAAGAGTGAAATTGGGTTTGATAGGGGTGTTAATTTAGCAAGGAACGTTGAATTGGATAGAGTTGTGGCAAATAATAGTGATTCTTTGGTGGGTTCTGTGCAGATTAATGAAGGGTTTGAAGAAAATGAGGCCAAGAAGGAGGTGGGTTTAGAAGTCGGTGATCCCCCAATTGAGCAAAGCCATGATTTTTCAGAGGGTGGAGGGGCAATTGAGGAGAAAAATGTGGATTTTGTTGAGGAAAAAGTGGAACCTATGAAGAAAAAGGAAGAGGTTTTCACTTTGAATGCAAAGATTAAGGAAGATAACAAGGACCCGGCATTGAGTGCTATGGCGGGATGGAAGGCGGTGAGGACTGGAGGTGATGGGAATATTGGTGGTGGTGTTGTGGAGGCCAATAGCGGCTCAAATAGCGAAGAGATTTCGCAATGTGATTTGGAAGAAGATGGTTCACTGCCGTTTTACATGATTGATGCTTATGAAGAGTTCTATGGTGCTAATGTGGGCAAGCTTTATCTGTTTGGGAAGGTAAATATGTAAATAGTTTGATGTAATATAAATTCTGTTTGGTTAGTAACAAATGAAAGTTTGTAATCTGTTTCATTTCTGAAGTGTAGTTCTTATCTTGCATGTTTGATCATGTTGCACTACTTCATTGTTAAGTTTTGGTGATATAGGTCAAAGCAGGAAGCACATACCAGAGTTGTTGTGTGGTTTTAGAGAACATGCAGAGATGTGTATACGCAATTCCAAAGAGTTCTGTATTTCACAGTGATGAAATCATGAAGCTTGAAAAGGATGCCGAAGAGTCGAGGATTTCATCCAGAGAATTCCGTACAAAGCTGCATGTAGGTGTTTGCTTTTCAACAGGCGTGAACATACTTACATGTAGTTCTTGTTGTTGGATTAGCATTTATTTTTCTTTGCTGCTGTTCATGCTTTTGTTTTTCCTGTTATCAGGATATGGCTTCGGGTTTAAAGAGCGACATAGCAAAGAAGTTGTTGGATCTCAATATATCAGCTTTTAGCATGGCACCGGTTAAGGTTTGCAGTTACAATCACAGAGATATTTCCAACTGTGAATTAATTAAATTATAAACCAATGAAGTTTGTTGAGTCTTCACGAAGCTTTCCTGTTATTTGTTCCACTTTGTTGCTCATTCAGTGTATTGTGAACATATCACAGAGGAGCTATGCATTTGAGCGATCTGACATACCTGCAGGAGAGAATTATGTACTTAAGATCAATTATCCATTCAAGGTATAACGCTCAACCTGTAATTAAACCAGTTTATACTTTATAGAAATAAAGTACACCTTCAGTTTGCATATTAACTATGTTACTTCTTTCTAGTAAATATTTGGAGTTTCCTAGGTTTTTGTTCTTTGCAGTTGCATGCTGTGATACAGTGATGGTTAATGACTTGATGATTTAGTATCAAATTTCATTTGATTCCATTTTTATGAGTACTGATTGCATGTCGCAGGATCCCCCACTTCCAGCAGATCTTGAAGGAGAAACATTCCTTGCCCTTCTCGGAACACATACCAGGTACAAGATTTAGAGCAGGTCCTCAAGTTTGATGTCTGATCTATAACTCTCAAATGCTTCTTTGTGTTTTGTTCCTGGATTTTCCTAGTGGTAAGAATGGAGCTATAGCTTATGTTACTTTAAAGCTCTTTTCTTTATTGAATAAGAGAAAACCTAACATATCATAACCTACAGCGCTTTGGAGCTTTTTCTTGTTAAAAGGAAGATAAAAGGCCCTTCTTGGTTATCAGTTTCAGGTTCAGAGTTTCGTCCAGTTTCACAACGGGTGAGATCTCCAAGTCTGGACATCTGTTATCATTTTAGCCATGATTATGAACTTCGTATTTTACTTTGCTTTCAGGTTCATCTGTTATAACTTTGGTTATTCTATCATACAGGTAAGTTGGTGCAAATTGGAGGTGGTTGTTAAATCTGCAAAAGACATACAGGTCTCAAATTGCCCAAAGAAAACTGCAGAGGCTCCCCCAGTGGTTGTTACTGCAATAAGTTTGAAAACTATTAATTTTGATGAAATTGTCTCTGCATCTGTTATCTGCTGTCACAAGGCCAAGGTTTGTCCTACAATCTTTTTAGCACTGCTAGTTTTAGTTTTGTTTTTTCTGTGACTTTTGATGCATCTTGTTAGGATGCACAATTATCTAAGCCTACTGACTAACATGAAAGGAAAATTTCTCATCTAACTGTGATGTTTATAAATTTCATCCATTTGTTCCAGTCCTACAGTCAATATAGTTGAAGTTATACATTCATATGCTATAGCTTCTGAAATCTGTTGCTAAAGTACACTGAAATGTTCCATTATCCTTATATTGTGCCCTTTGGTGTTTCAGATTGACACTCCTGTGTTAGCATCGGAGTGGACGAAACCTGGCATGCTGAGCCATTTTACTGTTGTCCGTAAACTTGATGGAGGCATATTTCCAATGGGCTTCACTAAGGAGGCTACAGAAAAGAATTCTAAAGCTGGATCAAATGTTTTAAGCATCGAAAGCACGTGGGGTTTACTGGCATATCTAATTCTCAATCAATCCTTTTCTTTGCTCTTTATAGAATAATAACTATTCTGTTAAAAACTGTATTTTAAATTCACTGGTATTGAAACTGAACTTTGTTTTGCAGTGAAAGGGCTTTACTAAACCGTTTGATGATTGAATTACACAAGTTGGATAGTGATGTTCTTGTTGGACACAATATATCTGGGTTTGACCTGGATGTCCTTCTCCGCAGAGCTAAGGTTGGAATACTTTTGCCTTCCTTTTACGTTAAAAGTTGATTGTATCTATCCTTGTTATGTTTATTCCAATGAGTTGTAAGCAAGATAACAAGCATGAAGTGGTGAAATCATTCTACTATTTGTGATTGATAAGGTCATCCTTTTCATAAAATATTTGCATCTAGAGGCAAACTGGATGAAATACAGACTGCTGACCAGATGCAGTTTGTAATCGGTTACATGATGTTTTGGTGCAATATAACTTCTCTTTTACATAAAAAAGACTAAAAAGCTTGGCATGTTGTTTTAAAGACTTGTTTCAAGTTTCAATTCTGAATAAAAACATCATTCTCCAAATGCAGCTTTCTATGGCTGTGTCATTCCATTGCAAATTTCATGACCTTCCGTCGTTTCAAATGCCTGTTTCTTGTCATGCAATTCTTCTCTTTCTGCTCATCATGATTTTTCCAAATGCAAATGATTTGACCATTGTTTGTAAATTCTATGTATTATTGGTAACACTACTTCCCAAAAATGAAAAAAAGCTAAATTTATCACAATGGTGTCATATTTTGTGCATTATTTGTAATTTCGTACACTTAATGAGCTACCATTTCCCATGTATATTTAAGGATGTTCAATATTTGTAGGTTTGTAAGGTGCCAAACTCCATGTGGTCCAAAATAGGCCGCCTTAAGCGTTCTGGGATGCCTAACCTTGCAAAAGGAAGCTCCATTTTTGGGTCTGGAGCAAGTCTAGGGATCTTGTCCTGCATTTCTGGTCGCCTTTTGTGTGATACATACTTGTGTTCCCGTGACTTATTAAGGGAGGTAAGTACTTGTGTTTGGGATTATATGCTCGGTATTGCTGATTAGGTTTAGGTTCTCAGCAATCAGCATCTCATGTATGCAATGTTTTGGTTTATCAGGTTAGCTATTCTTTGACACAACTTGCAAAGACTCAGCTAAATAAAGACCGAAAGGAGATCATGCCACATGATATTCCTAGAATGTTCCAGAAATCAGAATTTCTAATGGAACTGGTAGGTTCTCATGCTTACATTATAAACTCTATTTGGATTTTAGAGTAGTTTTAACTGTTCTGTTAGTTTACGCTAGATTACTAGGGCTGTCATTATAGCCTCTACCTTATGCACCACCTCTTATCATATGCATACAAGGTTAGGTGAAAAGGCTGTACTAACCCAAAATCTATTTTTCTTACACCTCTCTGATATGATTTTCTTCACACTTGTCTCCTGTTATAGAGATATATGGTCCCTGAACTTTAGTCCAATTGGAGCTTTGGTCAATGAATTAAAATTTTGTGAGTCTTGGCCTCTGAACTTCTTATAATGTGAAGCAATGGTTCTTTTGGCTAACTCAGTTAGAACTTCCATCCTCTTTTTGTCCCTTTAAAATCCTTTATTTTGGATTAAAGTTCTTAGGGAGTTTCCTAGAAGGACCGCTGCTTGAATTTACAACAAGTTTAGGGACCAATAGTCATGGATTTTTACCAAAGCTCCAATTGGGACAAAGTTCAGGGACCATTGCTCCAATTTTCTCCCTGTTAAAAAGCTCAATTTTCCTGTCTTCTTTGACAACAAAATCATATAGTTTAGGGACCAATGGTCATGGATTTTTACCAAAGCTCCAATTGGGACAAAGCTCAGGGACCATTGCTCCAATTTTCTCCCTGTTAAAAGGCTCAATTTTCCTGTCTTCTTGACAACAAAATCATATAGTTATTTTATTATTAGGAGAAGATTAGTGTTATCAGAGATTTGGTATGCAAGTGAGGCAATTTAATGTTTAATGCAACCAATAATATCAATAAGTTATGGGTAGTGTTATCCACACATCCATTTTACTTCTCACACACCCTCTCAATTTTTGGCCGTCGGATTGATGAATTGAAGATCAATGGCCAAAAATTAACAAGGGTATGTAGGAGGTAAAAATAAGTGTGTGAATAGCACTTTCCTAATTATAGTGTATGTACTAGAAAACTGTGTTAGGAGAGTTCATATTGCATGTTAGTTGGTCCCTTTGTTCAGAAAATGGCTGACAATTCATGGCTCTGAAAGTCTCTGATTGTTATCTACTGAGAATTCAGTGGACCAATATGCTTACCAACCAATTATGTCAGCCTCTTGCTAATAAAACCATGATTCTTGTTCACTTTTCTTGACACCTTGTAACTTTATAGAACTAAATTAACAGTGAAAGGGGTTAAATTTCCTGCTATAACTCTGAAATTATTATTTGGTGTGTTTGCACATGTGTTATTCTAATACCTTTTTCAAGTATTCAGATTGAATATGGTGAGACCGATGCATGGCTGTCTATGGAACTCATGTTTCATTTGAGCGTTCTTCCCCTCACACGTCAGCTGACAAAGATAAGCGGTAATCTGTGGGGAAAAACCCTACAAGTGAGTCCTACGATGTTTTTTTTTCCAATTATGATTTCAAATTCTGATTTGGACATGGTCTAAAAAGTATAGGTGGTCTAAATCTAATCTATGCACTTTTCAGGGTGCTAGGGCACAAAGAGTAGAATATCTTTTACTGCATGCCTTCCATGCAAAGAAGTATATTGTTCCAGACAAGATTCCTCATCTGAAGGAAACAAATTCGGCAAAGCGTAAAACAGATAATGGTGTTGATGATAAAAATGTTGATGAGGTGGATGTAAATTTTGATAATGAGGCAAAGAAGGATCATGGGAAAGGCAAGAAAGGTCCTGCCTATGCAGGTGGATTGGTATTGGAGCCAAAAAGAGGGTTATATGACAAGTATATATTACTTCTGGACTTCAACAGTCTTTATCCGTCTATTATTCAGGTAAGCAATATAACTTCTGGACTTCACATACTCCCATCGCCAACATGCCTACTTTCAATTTGTTTCTTCTCCCTGATGTAAAGTGAGGGAAAATCTTTTACATATTTTTTTTAATATTCATACCGATTCAATTTTACAGGAATACAATATCTGTTTCACAACAGTGGAAAGATCTTCAGAAGGATTGGCTCCTCGTTTGCCATCTAGTAAAAAAATTGGGCTTCTACCTGAGGTATAATATCATCTTCAGTACAGAATTCTTTGTTTACTCATCCTGTGCATTTTCGCTCAAACAGATTGTCTACATTTTCGCTCAAACAGATTGTCTCCTGATGATATAACTATCTGTTATAACATGGAGTTGTAGGCCTCATAATTTTGTTTCCATTTTCTCGTTCTCAAGAAAGTATGTGCTGTGCATGTATATAATATGCTTTTTGCACTACTTTGCAGTTGTTAAAAGATCTAGTTGAAAGGAGGAGAAATGTAAAGAAATGGATGAAGACTGCATCTGGTCTCAAGATCCAGCAACTTGACATTCAGCAGCAAGCTCTAAAGCTGACTGCAAATAGGTTTGTTTCGCCCTTTTAGGCCTGTTTATTTTTTGTTGTCACATCAAATGTATTTTATATATATGATGTGAATATGGTTGGTATTGCAGTATGTATGGATGCTTGGGGTTTCCAAATTCGAGATTTTATGCAAAGCCACTGGCTGAACTTATAACACTGCAAGTAAGAGAAATATGTGATGTTTAGTCTGCATTGTAACTACAGGGGATTGTTCACATCTAATATATAAATATTATTACTTTTACACCAAATGCTTTCATTCAGTACTGAGCAAGTCCCATAATTTTTGTGCAGGGGAGAGAGATTTTGCAAAGTACCGTTGATCTTGTTCAGAACAATTTGAACCTAGAGGTCATTTCTTGTACCTCATAATAGCAGTGATTAATATAGCTTCCAATATCCACATATGACTGAGATCTCAACTGACTGGTTAAGAAGGATGTGCCACTATTATTTTATCTTGCAGGTAATCTACGGTGATACTGATTCAATCATGATTTATAGTGGACTGGATGATATTGCAAAAGCAAAAGCAATTGCACGGAAAGTCATCCAAGAGGTGAGGTTCTAACCATGATAGAGTGCTATCTGAATATGATGTGGTCAGTAAACTTTCCATTTCAAACCCTTATCCTGTACGGAAAGTCATTCAAGAGGTGAAGTCCTAACCATGATAGAGTGCTATCTGAACATGATGTGTCAGTAAACTTTCCATTTCAAACCCTTATCCTGTATGTTTAGTGTTCTTGCTCCTAAAACTATTTTCATAACAGATTCAAATGGTGCCTCTTGATTTGTGATGAAAGTTCCATGCTTTTACAATCTCTGGAGAAGTCCAAAGATCTAGTTAAAGAGATTAAAATCCACTACATTAATTTATACATAATGTTTCCGCAGTAAATAACCTCCATAGTTTCCATAACTATTTTTTAGACAATGCAAAGAGCATTTTTTTTTAACGGAAAAGTAGACACTTCAGCTCCACCTTTGCAGTATCTGTCACAATATTATATGTATTCTAGTTCGCCTATCTATTTATACTAAGCTTATGTGCGTATGAGGGGTGATTCCTCTATCTATATGCATCATAGGTTAACAAGAAGTATAGGTGTTTGGAAATTGATCTTGATGGGTTGTACAAGAGAATGCTGCTTCTTAAGAAAAAGAAATATGCAGCTGTGAAGGTGCAATTCAAGAATGAGATGCCCTATGAGGTAATATAAAAAATGATCAAACTTTCAATTTCAGTTAAAACTTTCCTGGGAGACGATGACAATTATATATTTTTTTGGGTGCAGGTTATTGAGCGTAAGGGTCTTGATATGGTTCGACGGGACTGGAGCTTACTTTCAAAGGAACTGGGAGATTTCTGTCTAAGTAAAATTTTATCAGGAGGGTATGCTGTGTTATAGCTCTTTTCTATTTGATATTGTCAGTTTGACTTGTGCAAAGGTTACTGATCAGTCACTTTTGTGGTTCACAGGTCATGCGAGGATGTTGTTGAATCAATTCATGACGCTCTGATGAAGGTGAGGTGGTCCTTTTCATGTTTTGCATGTTGAACTCATTGTGGGTGTTTTCTTTGTTGATTTTCCCTTGGAGAAAATAGCCATTATAAATTAATTCTTCGTAGATTCATTTCCTATTATGTTTTTTTTTTTGGGTCAAATCATTTCTTATTATGTGGCCATATGATTAAATGACTGAATTGTTGTATTACAATTTTGAACAGGTGCAAGAGGAGATGAGAAACGGACAAGTAGCACTTGAAAAATATGTCATCACCAAGTCATTGACTAAACCACCTGAAGCGTACCCAGATGCCAAAAACCAACCACATGTTCAGGTGAGTTCAAGTAGCGTATTTTCTGTTCACCATTAGTTCATCTGGTCCCATGTAATGTACTCGATGTGTTTATTTCATTTTTCTGTTGCATTGATGCTTCTGTAATAATCCTAGGTGGCATTAAGATTAAAGCAAAGTGGTTATTCTGCTGGTTGTTCTGCTGGCGATACAGTCCCTTATATCATTTGCTGTGAGCAGGTTTGTGATGCAGTAGAATGTGTATTATATCGAATGAATATTTAGTGAACACTGAGACCTGTTTTAACATTAAAGTGGTGATGTTAATCATGTTTAGCCTCTTGCTTTCCTTCCCATTCCTTGAACAGGGGACTAGTATAAGTAATTCAACAGGGATTGCTCAACGTGCTAGACATCCGGATGAATTAAAACGAGAAGATGGAAAATGGATGGTTGACATTGATTACTACTTGTCCCAGCAGGTTCTTTATCCAACTTATTTGCTCTATGTATTGTCATTTAGGTAGTACATTGTGCTGTTTGATTGATGACTTAATTCCATTGTGCAGATTCATCCTGTGGTATCACGTCTTTGTGCTTCGATTCAGGGTACCAGCCCCGGACGCTTGGCTGATTGTTTAGGACTTGACTCTTCTAAGGTAAAAATCATTCCTCCTAGGCATTTTCTGGAGCTGATTGATAGGATTCCTCCCTCTAATGTATTTTTGAAATTGGAAATTTTAGTTCAAAGGTAACTCAAGTGAAGCTGTTAGAGATGATCCTTCCAGCTTGTCCCTTCTTCTTGATGATGAAGAGAGGTAACCTTGTCTGGTTTCTCAGATCTTTCATAGTGTCCACTGGTTCCTAAACTCTAATATATTTTAAATTGGAATGAACACGATGAAAGATTTCTCTGGAAATGATAGATGTATTCATGTGATGTATTGCAGATTTTGCAGTTGTGAGCCTTTGATCTTGGCATGTCCTAGCTGCTCCAATACTTTTAGTTGTCCAACTATCTTGAATTCCATTTCCAAGTCAATTACCGAAAAGCAAAGTAAGTCACAAGCCGAGGAATCTACCAGCGATTTTTGGCATACACTACGCTGTTCAAAATGCCCAGGGGAAGGAGACATGGGCAGAATGTCTCCTGTAATGATAGCCAACCAGGTATATAGACTAACTCATCCCTTTTTTCACAGTGCCACTATAATTATCCGTCAAGGCAACTGTTAATCTGGAGAGATTTGGGGTCTGAAAAAGTGCTTATGGTTTTCAATACCAAATTGTCGTCGAGCATCTAATGAACATACTCCTTCCGATACTGTATTTGTCTTTCAGGTGAAAAGGCAAGCAGACAGTTTTGTTTCAACGTACTATAAGGGCTTTATGACGGTAAATTTTCCTCTTGCAGATTATTTTGGGGAACCACACGGGTGCAATGATTTTATTTTATTTTTGTTGTAATTCAAACTAAATCTCAATCTCCTGACTTTACTTTCAGTGTGACGACGAATCTTGCCAATACAACACACGAAGTCTCAACCTCCGGCTTGTTGGTGATGCTGAGAGAGGAACAGTTTGTCCGGACTATCCTCGCTGCAACGGACGTCTTGTAAGAAAGGTTTGCATAAAAAACTCGTTGAAAAGAAAAAGAAAAACGCTTTCTTGTACTGTTTTCGTGTAGCTAACGATTTTGGCTGTTAACGCGCCTTCACCAGTACACGGAAGCAGATCTTTACAAGCAGCTCTCCTTTTTCTGCCACATCTTGGATACAGAACGCTGCATAGAAAAGGTGATCAACTTTTCTTAACCAGGACATCAACTCTTGGTGTGAGCTTGTATTTTTAGGCAAGTAATTATTAATCTTTTGCTCCAATTGGATTTGCAGATGGAGGCTAGCACTAGACTGCCGGTAGAGATGGAGTTGGCCAAAGTTCGGCCAATCGCGGATTTGGCTGCTTCAGCAGTTCAAAGGATTCGGGACCGTTGTGCCTATGGATGGATACAGCTGCAAGACCTTTGTGTTACAGTTTAAATCTTTAAAGTTTTGCAGACCGCAGGGTTAAAGTTGATTTGATAAGCAACCTATAAAACTCTTTTAGTCATTCATGTGTATGTTTATAGGTTGCTCATCAGCAATGTTGATGTGCAATTACTAAGCAGCAATGTGTTTTAAGCAATCTCTCGGAAAGTTATATAGGTTGATAGTATATTGAGTATTTATGCTTTGTACTAGTATAATCATGGCAGTTGGTGCTTCCCTGCTTTACAATTTCTACATCGGCTTGAAAGAGATACGTTAATACTCATTGCCAAATTTTTATACACCATTTCTACTTAATTACAATACGAATTTGTCAAGTCAATACAGCTTTTCGTAATCTCTATATCATTTTTTAATCAAGAGCTAATCTTGTTTAATCCTTCTCTATTTTCAACAAATAATTCAATAAGTAATTGTTTATTGTGATTGAATAAATCATAGCAAAATCAAGTGACAGTAACAAAAATAGTACATAATCAAGTGACAGCACAAAAGGGTTCATCAACACCCACAAGTCAAAGAAAGCAGTGGAGCTACAGACATTGGACGATTTTTCAGATCTGAAAATTCCAGCGGGGCAACCGCCAAATAGCAAGGGTCCGACGGCTATGGCAATTTCAGGTTAGGGTTTCTAGGAGGGAAAGGGGCGAGAGCGTTTCTAATATTTAATGGCAACGGTTTAATTTGGGGACGAAAATGTTATATCTATCCCCATAACTACGAAAACTAATCATATACACAACTGCAAATTAACCGTCGGGTATTATCCATAACCATACCCACACGGTAACGGATTCCCAATCTGTTAACGGTTACATCCATCTTCGTCAATAAAAAATATATATTCATTCAATTGATGCATAATAATTTAGTAAATATTAATTTCGTCATTATATATATGATGTATAAAATGATTTAATGAATGGATCTTGTGAAGCATAAAAATTAAAGCTAAACGTTGATAATGTTGGTTTGATCTTTGATATCTTCCACAAGTACCCTTGAATTCTCATAGATTTTGATTCATATTAAAACTTTTGTACTTTTCCACAAAATGCAACTTACACAATCAATTTTTGTAGTCTCAAGGTAATGGATTCCGTGAATAATAAATAAATAAATATATATATATATAATTTTTTAATACTTTAATATTATATATAATATATATTATTTGGTTCGGATTTGGTTATGGATACCGATTGACAATTTCTATAACCATATCCAAAATCATAACAGAATAATAATCACGGTTTTTCTCCATACTCAAAATATATCCAAATTTTCATACCCAAATCCAATCCATTCGAGCGGTTATCCACGACTATCGGGTTTAACGGTTAGAATTGCCATCCCTAGGTATTTTAGAGTCGCCCAGAGTCCTGAGTATCTTCTACTCAATGGCACCATAGAATTTTTGCAGCTTTGCTGCCACAAGTGATGGAGATGGGAAAAAACAGTTCACGTCCGTTCCAATCATGTGGCTCAGTGCGAACAGCAATTTTCCTCTTCAAAAATTCTTATTCCAAAATCTTATTAAAAATGAATGATGCATCGCATTGTCGAAAAACAACATGCGGGTAAGGAAGCAACAATTATTCTATTAACAAGTAAAATAGTAAATTACCGTTCCACAAATGAGCTAAATTATGTATTCCGACAATGTTGTATATGCTTTTGACTACTTAAGGGAACTACTTCAATCGTCACTTGCGCTGAAAAACGTATACCGCTTCATGTGTACACCTTTTGCTATCACAAACTCACTGCAACTCCCCAACAGGTGCTTCGTTGAGCCACAAGAAATGAATGAAGTCGTACAATTCCGCACTCACACTAACCTGCTCAGCGTAAAAATAGTTAAGTTAAAAGTGGAGTCACTGAAAAATGAGAACAATTTCAAAAAAGATGTATCAGTATCAGTTGATTCGGTTCATTCATACCTTGTACGGCGTTGGGTTTAGTCTCCTCATGTGGTCGGGACGCATTTTCTTGAGTTGTGTAATGCAGCGCTCCCTAATGTCCTTTAATGGTGGCAGATCTTCTCTTGCTCCACCTTCAATGAACAGAAATCCGGGGTTAGACATTACATACATCAATATTACGAAAATAAAAAAGGGACGGTAGTGTGCTCAAAACTATATGTTCGGATGATGTTCTATTTCCAAATGTTATCAAATATCCTGAAAGTCTACCTGGGCTGCCAGGCCAGAAACATTTCATAAGTTCTTCAACGCGCTGTGGCACCACATATGCTCTCTTTGATTCATTAAAAGGGTGACGACATAGAATTCTTTCTCCCACCTGCATGTTGAAATATAATTATGAGAAATTTCTGATTCATCATTCTAGTGATCATCACATGGAGTGAACTCTTTACTTGTATAGAATCCAAAGAAGCAAGCAAAAGATATACACTCAAATAATAAGCCTTATGGATACGAAGAATTAAATACGTCTCATTAGATGTTCTGAAATATTACTCTCTTTCATTTATATCTGTGTGTGTGTTTCTCTTCGGATTAGGGACTTTGAGGCACCGACGCTCCTATTTGTGGGTGTGGAACTCACATAAGTGCAGAGTTAAGCTTCATCATTTGGTTTTTTGCTTTGTTTGTCTACCTCTTGGGGAAATAAATTAATAAATCCTGCCCATCTTGACAACTTATCATGCAGCATTATGAGTTTCATGCACTCCATTATTATTCCAACAATAAAAGAGACACCACATTTTCAGTACTTGCTTTCCGAGTCTCTGATGTAACTAAAATTCATAGATTGACATGATAATAAAAATCTACTCCTAGCCAGTGTTCAAAAAGCCTCGCCTAGGCGCTAGGCGGTTGGCCACCGCCACGACTAATCCTTAGGCATTTAAAAAATAAGAAAGAGCGCCTAGGCAGCCAGCCTGGACTCGCCTAGACCCGCCTAGGCACCCGCGTAGACTGCCTAGGTTGTGAAAATAGTTAACTTCCATATTGAATTTTATTTTTCAATAAATTGTATGAGACTTGTTGGATACTTGGATGAACACTAATTATATGCTTGTTCCCAATGTTTTTAATGTATCCTAGTGCATTATAATTTATATGTCATTCTATTTGGAATATTATGAATTTATGTATCCCAATACAATTATGCATTTTTGTAATTATAAGTACAAATTTATTTATGTTATTAATAAATTTAATTAAATTTTAAAAAAGCCTAGGCTCCTGCCTAGACGTCTAGATGCTAGGACCCTATGCACTGCCGACTAGCGCCTCGCGCTTTTTAGAACCTTGCTCCTAGCTTGCAAGCTCTTTGGAATAGCTAACCCAAATTATGAAAAATGTTTCCGTTTGCACTCTGATATATGAATGATAAGGATAACATTTACTAAAAAATTTGAGAACATATGTGGTGTAATGAATGCATAGACCAAGTTGACAAGGTACCTTTGGAGGTGGTTCATTTTCCCCTGTCATTATATCTACCAGGGGATAACCTTCTTTCCCATACAGTCTGTAACTCCGCTTTTTACAAGGAATGGAGACCTAAAATGAGGTTTGAAAAAAATTAGAATCTAAACGAGAGTGGTACAGGAAATTTGTTAGAAGTATGATCAAACCTTCGTAACATCTTCAGAAAGTTTTATTCGAGGCTGATTATTTATCTCAACAAGCTTGAAAACGCACCCTAAAGCAGCTTGAGCGTAGCAAGTAACTACATAGGTTCCAATTCCAAATGAGTCAACCTCATGACCCTACAAAAGATACAGATTAATCTAATTAAGAAATTAGGTTCCAACAAAATGTATTTAGTCCTATGGTTCTAAATCGCCGTATTAAAAGATAAACAACTTAAAGGTAGACATATCAACACTATATAAAACCAGCACTCAAATGCCTCTGTACAGTTCTTAAGCCACAGCATAATCCCCATAACTTCAGAATCATTACCTGTTTGTTTAAAGCATCCAAAGTTTCCTCGTTCAGATCATTACTAGCTGTAATATTGGTCTTTCCAAACCAAGGTACTCCAAATTCTTTCTCAATGGTGCAGAAAATCTTCCGAGCCTCGCATGACAAATACGCTAGGTCACCTGAATCCAACCTAATTCCGGCTGCTTTGTACCTGGACATAGCATCATCGAACTCATCAAGAGAGCTACAAATGTACTTCGTTGATTGCCTAAAGACACCAAACTAATTAAGTCAAGGGTCGTGAAGCTGCCTGCACATTGCACAAATTAATATGGATGTCGCACTGGTAAAAAAAATTGCAAAGACAAGGTTAATGTAATAGTTCCTGGAGTAGAGGCAACTTTGTGGAGAAAATTTTCAGTGTGCAATATTTTATTTAAAAAGTAACCTGCAAAACAGCAACCTTTTTTATGAAACAGCATCAAAATAAGCCTGCAACAGTGGTGTAAACCGGCCCATGTCTTTCTTCAATAAAGCAACCAAAACACCCCCCCAAAAGTAGGGTTCATGATTAAGAGGTCAAATGCCTACAACCTTAAAGTTTGAGCACTAATATTGGCTTCAACCCCTTAAAAAGAAATGCATTACCATACGAACTGCTTTTGAGCCTACATTATAAACCATAGTCATCATTATCAACCTTATTGGTGTTGCCATAGTTTTTCCATTTGAAACCAATAGAGGATACCTATTTTTGTAAATCCATTCCAGATTGCACAATACTAAAATCATCAACTGGATAAAAAAGATTAAAAATGCTGCACGAAAATCTTTCGAACATACCCTAAATCATTGAGTGCTAAAGCAACGGCACAATAGTTAGGGATTCCACTCCTCATAACCTGGTAAATAAATGAAAGGCATGTTGCTAAAGATTCACTTTATTTAAAGAGACAATAAAGTATACGTGGGCCGAAACCACATCATTAAACATTATGAAGTAAGCTGCATAATGTTTACTTACATCATATGTGTCTACAAGAGCTAGAAAGTTATTAGGGAATGCCAATGCATATGATGTGAATGCTGCTAGCTCACTTTGATTGGTCTCGCCAAAAGTTCCATTTAATGATTTTGACCACTGCAAAGAACATGGTAAGCGTTGTCAAGGTCTGAGTGAACTGATCTCAGATCCTATTATGATATCAAAACAAAATTCGAGATTAAATGTGTAAAACAGCTGACGAAGGCAGAAGGGGATATGAATATGCAAAACTTTGTGAAAGTAAGACAGATTGCTTACACCCACAGACAGATATTTGATGAAACTGAAAGGGTTTAGTAGTTCAACCAAAGTTCAATGGCTATGAACTTATACGCCATCATGCACAAATTTTTATAACTTAAGTAGAATGGAAAGAACACACAATTGAGAAGCATCGAAATTAAAAAAAGCATATGAATTTTATGTGAAGAACAAAATCAAACACCTGAATCTTGCTTAACCAAGTCTGAACCAGGCTAACAAAATCCTCACAAGTACTCTGGCCATCACTGCTATGAAGTGATTTATCAATAATCTCATCAGGACTCTGTAAATGATTAAATAAATTAGAAACAGTAGCTTCACATGCAAAGGCATGCAAATCATGATGAAGGCAATATAATGCTCATAGCATTTAGTGTTTCAATGTCATGGAACAAGAATAGACACTAAACTCAATCTAGTAATTTCCTTTATCACGTTTGTAATTTACGAAGGATTCATAAGATATCATGTTTGTAATTTCCCTTATCAGATGAAAATCAATAACATTACGGCCGTGAAACTTTATCTCATATTTAATGAATAAACAGAATAGCTTTAGCGCTCAACTAATGTCACGCTAAATACAAGAAATGGGTCTCAAACATTGAAAAACCTACCCAATAATATAAATATAGTGGTATTTTAATAGGTAATAGACTTACTAGTTTCTAGTTTACCTCTGATGATGTAATTGTAGATATGAACTAAAATGTTTTCTACAACCTATTCGGGGTTATGCAGAATAGATCCCAAGTCTTTATGCATTTGAAGTTGTACTTTCCAAATTCCCAAAAAGGATGAAAGAGTTGCGTACCATAAATGAGCTGACAAAAGCATGAGAATGGGTTCCACGAAGTGGTATCCCGAATAACTTCCCAGCTGCAACATTACTGTCAAATATAACATAGAGATAAAAGGAAGTTATTCCATATCATTACTCAGAACGACAAAAGGCCGCTGATTTTAAGTCAAATGAAATGAGATTCTTCCAGTTGTCCAATATCAGAAATGTGTGAATATGATTATATGACATATATAGAGAAGTAAAATGCTTTAGAAAACGCAAAATATAATCCAAAAGAATTGTTAAAAAACAAAAATCACAATACTAATATGCCGCAGCTGAGTTTTCAATAGGCACTACCTTGTTGCATGAAATCCTCCCAGGTAACAGTACCTTGATGCCCCTATTCCCCCATCAGGTCCCTATATATCAAAACAAAGACATTTTTTTACAAAGATAATCCGTCCACAGAACTTCGGAACAACAAATCCAAAATGTGAAAAACCTAAACTTGTCACAGTCCAAGCATGTTCCAGATACCTGAGCCCGTCGAAGCCCAAACTCAAGTAGGTTCTTTGATTCTCCAGCAACAAAACGATGCCTTGCAGCATTCGTAGTAACTAAAGATGCATAATTAACAAGATTCAAGAACGGAGTTTCGAGCAATTGAACCACCTGCAACAATAAAACAAACGTAAATCAAAACACACAGCAAAACAACTAGAATGACTGACAACAACAACAATTAACCACAACAGTTTAAAGAAAGCCGAAAACAAAACTAGATTAACGGTTCTCACCGCAATTGGCCCTTCAACTCGAATCAAGGGAACCTTTGGAAAAACAACTGTACCCTCAGGAATGGCATACACTTTAACTCCTGAACAATCAACTCCTCTAAGATAGTCATAGAATCCATCCTACAGTTCACCATTGCAATTCGATTATTCGGGCTTTTGATACACATGCAAAATCACAATTTCAAACTACAGAATGCAGTAAAATTTACAGGTGAAAGTTTCAGAAATAATTTACCTCGCACGAAGAAGACAATGATTCGCGGACGAAGCCGATATCATCCTCAGTTAATTTGAAATTGGCAATGAATCTGATGCATTCTTCCAAACCGGCAAAGATTGTGTATTCGCCGCCGAAGGGGTTCTTCCGGAAATACAAATCAAACCTGTAACGGAAATAAATGTAAAACTCTGTTTGGTTGCCGGTAAAGTTTAGAATTTTCCCGGGAAACAAACGGAGTGGAAAGCAGAGAGAGAGAAGACTGACACAGCTTGTTCGTTGTGCTTGCCGGCTTTCCAGTAAGCGTAGGCCATGGTGAACTGGTAGAGATCCGTGAGCAGGGGGGTGACCATTGGATTGGTGGGGGGCGCAATGACCCGACCCGAATCAATCGGGCCGTTCGAATTCGCCGCCATTCGTATATTGGTTGGTTCTTGCTTCTGCTTCTGGTAAGATATATATGTATGTATATATATGTCTACAGAGAGAAGCTAGAGAGAGGAGGGAGAGACCGCTATAATCGAGGAAGAAGGCGTTTTCTCGTACAATTCATCGAAACGCAGGAGACAGAGGAGAGACAGAGAAACAAGGGATGCGCAGCTGACGTGTCGCTGGTTTTGTCAAACATCTTCGTAGACCAACCATATAGACTTGTCCATGGTGCATTTTGTTAACCACATTTTTTGTTTTTTTGTTTTAAAAAGAACGGTATTTTCTACGGGTTGGAGACTGGGTTAAGCTTTACAACGAGCATAATAATTTAGTTCAAATTCTTTTGTGTTTTTTTCTTCAAATAATAGATTTTGTTAGATTAGCCACTAACAGGACTTGAACCCAAGCTTTCATGCAATGACTCAACATCTTTCCATTATTATAGTAAAGATCATTTATAATTTAGTTCAAATTCAACTTTGACGTTAATCGAAGGTAAAAACTCTCACTTACTTACAATTGTTGTTAACAACATTCTTTTATGTAATAGTTATGTGAGAGAATCCCTTTGTTTAACATTATACTTCCACTTTTCCCCTCATTTTCTGATTATTTCTCTGTGTTTTAGCCTACTTTTTGTGATCATCAGAACCCACTATCATGGGTTTGATGGGGAATAAGCACATGCACTTGAAAAGATGACAGATGCTGAGAGTCTTCAGGGACACGGAACTTAGGGCATTCAAGTTTGTCCTTTTTGTTGTATAGTGTTTATTTGATCATCTTGGTCTGTCCACGCCACCTCTGAAATTCAAGGGGCTCCGTTCCGACTCCCTGCGCTTTCAAGAAGACCACGCCATCAAACCCCAGAAATTATCGACCGAAAGCAAACCCTATGATAAATAATTTACGAACGCAAGTAATCCTTTACCGCAATGATAAAAAGAAGTTGAGCTCTTTATGATTACGTAAATTCAAATCCTGTCGATAATTAAATTAATATCTAATCTAATAAAATTTATCGTTTGACAAAAAAATAAAAATAAAAATTCATGACCGACTTCGCTCCATCGCTCAACCTCTTCGACAAAAAATCCATTAAATGTTTTGTTTTGTTTTATGGGCCTTTTTTGTTGTTTTTCGTCCTCATAATTAATAAAAATTCATTAAATGTTCTTGGTTAAATGTTCATTAAATGTTCTTGGTTAAAATGTTGTTTTATGAGGGTTTTTTGATAAAACTTCCTTTTTTTATATTTGTATAGATGAAGTCATATAATTCTTAGGGTTCGTTTGGTGTGCTATATGAGATTGGATTTTCAGAATATAATTAGATTGGCAATGACTGATAAGACAGAACTTGTAACATGTATAAGGATACGTTAGATAACTCACTCTATTATGAACTCATAACCTATCATGTTCATTCTATTTCATATTTGACACAACAAACAACGGACTAGACTCAAGTTCATTTTAATTGATCACAACCTGTTTCATCTGGCCCACCAAACGAGGCCTCATAGTTTTGAAATTCTCAAATAATCAGATTCCAAAAATATTAAATCTGGAATGAGTTTATGAAATTCCAAAATTACAATTCCAAAATTGGAAGTGATATGTAATTCCGAAACATTTTGGATTGAAATTGAAAACGTGTATTTGACCGAAAGTAAAGCCTTGCAGAGTGGTTCAAATATTTTATTTTTATTTTTAAACGACTTCAATTTTTGTTATGTTACTAGAAAAGGCACTTATAAAAATAAATGATTTCTCAAAAAGCATTTCCAAGAGAAACTTGTGTAAGATTAGCTACATTCTCCATTTTTACGAAAGTAAAATGCTTTGATCTCCCTGTAAATTTGTTATATATAATTTATTGAGTATCAAGTAGTGTAGGGAAAATCTACTGCAGACATTGTGTAATCGCCTAATGATTCACATACTATCTCATTTTAAAATTGGTACAATTGTTCTAGTTCAGTATGTTACGATTTAATTGAGTTGATATTAATTAAATAAGGAATTAACTTGGTTCTTTAATGATTGGGAATAAGTTCCTCTTGAATGCATTTTGTAGCCGATTCCTCAAAATTTTACTGCTTATGACTAGAACCGTTTATATGATAATCGCTTGGGAAAGATCATATTTTGAAGAAAATTAATTAAACGTGAGATCGTTTGGTATTCCAATTGTATAAAGAGATGGACAGATTCGGTAAAATAATTATAAACCGTCTATTTATTTGCTACAATTGATTGACTAACCAACCTTGGTTTTTACTGATTCTTTTTGTAAATATAATCTTTACATAGTGATTTATAATATGAACGGTTCATATTATAAATCTGAAGTGTAAATCGGCCACTAAGTGATTTGAGGAGGAACTCCTCAATTTTGAATAGCCAAGCCTTTCTCTAAATAATACTAGTGACAAAGTACTATTATCTATATACTCCTGCCATCATTCCCTTCTATTTCTTAGGAACGCTGACAGAGATAAATATCATTATAAATTAGTATAAAATATTGCTTATAATAATGATAAATAAATAAAATATATAGATGTATTTATTTTTTGTTTTTCCTAGCTAGTAACATAATAAATAGATTGGTTGGTTTCAATGAATCTGCTCCAGATTAACAAGTCAAGATAAGAATCTACTTAATGCCCTTAAATAGTTTTATTTCTTCCTTTTCTTTTTCCACCTCTTGAGAATAATTCCCATAGTCCAGCTGAGTTGAATCTTTAGACCAGAAAAAGGAGAAACAAAATGAAGATGAAATTGGTAAAAGTAATACCCTTGACTACGTTTAGGCTATTCAGCATTGAACTTTCCTTTGAAGTTGAAGACAAAACACAACATACAAATTTGATGGCAACCTATAGTAATACTTATTTATATGTGTCGTGTTCATGTTAACTCATTTGTGGATAACATGCAAATTAGTACAAAAATAAGAGCTATATAATGCAATAACTTACACATTATTCATAAAAAATGAATAAAAGCAATCAATTTGTTAATATAATATTATATTCGTGTTGATTTTGAGTCTTGTTAACGTATTGTATCCGAAACTTAGTTCTTAAAACTTTCTTGACCCTTGACTTGTATGAAAGTTTTTCAGTCACCTGTGGAGAAATCCAAGTCAATTGTTGGAAATTCCAGTTTTCTTGTTCAACGTTTATTCCATCCCATTTGTTGGTAAACAGACCAAGAAAGAAAAATATAAGAAATATGGAAAGAGTAGTTCATTTCAAGCTAAAACCTGAAATTTCTCAGTGATCCACAGGTTTTAGTGTTGAATATTTCAAGAATATATTCATATATTTGTTGGCTGAAAAGTTGGGTATTTGTCCAACCGTTGCTTCTTTTCGAGTGAAGCATTGCAGCATATGACATTCTATAATATACATATATATGTTATATATGTATATATATGAATATAATATATATATATATATATATAATATAATATAATATATCGGTGCTGCATTGTGTAGCATGTGTGTGCGCAAAAATGATGGTACCAAAATGTTGGATTTAATTCAACTTTGTATCTTTTGGTTGAACTACAATTTTTGGTTAAAAGACATGACGTTTTATCAAATTGTATGAGTAGAATTAAAAGATATAAATAATCAATATTTATTTTCTGAAAATTCTAAATAGAAAACATGTTTTTTGGGTCAACAGTATTAAGAATGGTTGTATATCTTCAACTAAAATGAAAGGATTCGATGAACGGGTGCTTTAAAGCCTATAAATACCTATTGTGGCATAATGTTTCACACACAATTTTCAAAAATTTGTTTCTACATTCCTTGCTCTCTTTTCTCTTCATCACATTCATACAATTTCTTTCTAGTTATTTCTAAGGAAATACAATTCGGTTTTGCTAATCGAATATTTCATACTTCCTGGAAGTAACTTGTCAAAAACCCTCTAGCAAATTCATTCGAGTGGGGGCAAATAACACTTTAAGAAAACGATTCAAGTCGTACCTCAAAATCATCATTCGAATTATTCTCTATATTTCTACATTTTACTCTAACATTTAGCAAATTTTTTAACAATCGATAAAAAAAAGTTCGGTAATTTGTAACACCTCTACTCCAAAGCTGGAAGATCCTGAGATCTCTGCAGAAATTAAATATTATGAAGTAATACCAAAGCAATGAAACAAAACACTACATAGCTGGATTTTATGAACACGATTTTCATATAGTTCATATATAACGAACAGCGGCCCCTTATTTCAGACATGACAGATGATTTATAATGTGACGAGGAGCATAATTTCCAAATAAAAGGAACCACAGAAAGAAGGGATAGATAGAGTTTACATGTGTCTCATCCCCCACCCTACTATTTCTACCAATTACGTATCAAAAGCCTTGCCAAAGCATTGAAGAGAAAACTCTTACGAATTGCAGGTCTGCTATGAGGCATACGCATAATTCGAGCGTGCAACCGAGGCTCTAAGAAATTTTGGAGAATTACATAAGCTGTTACAAGTTGTGGCTACACCAAATCCAAAATGTGTAAAGAGTATCCGAGCTTAACATGCATCATCCATGCCTTCTTTCAGTTTTGATGGCATCGTTTGAGACCCTTCTTCCTGTGCAAATTCTAAATGCGAATTACATAGTGAACATACGGTGCACATAACCATGTGAAGAACGGATAAAACATTGTATTGATCAAATGTACTTACCTATCAATGTGAAAGTTTTGTTCTATAGTATTCAGGAGACTGCCTTCCTGCCAGTCCCTTCCTATGATGCGTGTATCAAAAGTACTCTTCGAATCTGATACTCGTACGTTAAAGGGAAGTGAATCAGTGGCTGTGCCTCCCAATTCAAAATTTTCCAACAAACAAAATACATGTTAGACCAACACTAGGATCCTGTGTGCATACTGTTCGAGTTATTTGAAAGGGCAACTGTAGGATCATCGACCCACCTGAAAGATTCATCTCCGAACAATTTACATTAATTTGTTGGTGCTGCAAAAGGTCCTCCCTGCAGATTTCCTTCATATGGAAAATAATGTAAAAAGGTTAATATCGTTTGCTTAGTTCGGTATGCATTATTCACACAGCGATAATTTACCTGAGATGAGGCTGGCAGTTGAAAGGGTCCCAAGTGAGCCTGAATTGACGGTTCCAACCCAAACGACGTTTCTGAATTAACTACATT